GTTTAATGCAGGACATGAATGCATTTAACCTGCAGTTACAAATGCATAAATAATGTTTTGATATATTAAACATAAAACATTGAATACTGATATTTGAAATAATAAAAAAATGAAAAGATACTTTAAATGTGAAATTAAAACCGCCAGTAGTGGCAGTACATCACTGTTAAGTGAGTCACTGCGAATGAAACAGTTGATTCATTCGGGAACGAAACACCGTCATGTTGCTCAGAGACGCAAAACAGCGCTGTGGCTTTGTTTGGAATTATTTTTGTTGGCGAAATAGTGCAAAAACAGGCAATATGGTTTCTAAAACGTAAGTCTCTTAATAAAACTTCGTTTATTGAACTGTTGTAAAAAATCAATATCACATTTGTATATGGTAATTTTTGGAGAAGAAAAAGGCACTCTTCCGTGTGAACTTGATTAACTACATGAAGTGGTATAAATATACACATTTTCTGCCCCATGTCTTGAATTTGTGATCATTCTGAATGTATTTTAATAGACTGAATCATGCAGTGAAAGAGCGCACTAGACTTCACGTAATGCGTGCACTCTGTTGGTGTTTTGAAAGCTTTTTTGCGTCGTGAGAATATTGAGCAAAACAGCTCACTTGTCATGGTGTTATTTAACTATATCATGTTATGAATAAACTAAACATTTTGAATTTTTACCTCAGTGTGTTTCTTCTGAGTTTATGTGTGCTGTCACGCTCATTTGTTCTGAAGTCTCGAGACAAACAGAGTGAGCTCAGCGCGAGCTTGTATTCTGTATTCTGCTAACTTACTGCAATTCTCTCTGATGATGCAGTAACTTACCGCGGGGAAGAAAAAATCTTTGGTCTGTCCAATGATTGTAAAGTCATTAGGTCCGTCAGACTGAAGATATTTTAGCGGTAATGAGACCAAAAATATTTAAGACCCATCGAATCCGAATTTAAGACATTTTAAGACTTTTTAAGGACCCGCGGACACCCTGTTTTCAATGTTGAAAATAGTTGTGCTGCTTAATATTTTTGTGAAAATTGTGACTTTTTTTCTCACAATTCTTTGATGAACAGAAAGTTCAAAAGAACATTTAAAATAGAAATCTTCTGCAACATTATAAATGGCTGAATAATAGTATTAATTTCTTTTTAAAAAAAAGTGACTCACTTGTATTGTAGCGGTGGCGAGGTTGGTCTGGGCAGCAGATACAGTGATAGCTGTGGGATTGATCACCTGGCTGGACAATGTGGCAATGGAAGCAAGTGTGGTGACTGGAGTCACCAGGCTGGCATTAGCACTTGCCACATTGGCCCCTGCAACGCTACTCGATACAGTACCAGTTACTGTACCCAGAGTTGTGACTCCTAAAATACAGAGAGGGCATTATTAATGAGGTAATGATATCAAGAAAAAATACTTCTCTGTAATTTGCATAAAACTACACTACAGAGTTTACAATCTGAATATTCAAACCCGTGGTGCCCTTGACAACCAGTGTGGTAACAGTTGGTTTTCCAGCAGAGACAGTGCCTGGTGAAACCAGACGCACTCCACTCATAGGCACAGTGCGCAGGATAGTGCCTGGCTGTCCGGGCGCCCCCTTCAGGACCACCTGAGAGCAAATAAAATATTCATGAACCACTTAAAACACTCAATCAAAACTAGATGCGCTTAAAACGATGCATGTTTATGCTGTGACTGTGGTTTCAGAATTCAACTGGGCCTCACCTGTGTGACCCCCTGTTGTCCTGCACCTGCTGTCAGCTTTGGCACAGCTGTTATGAATTTCCCCGGAGCACCTGTGCCAGGAGTAACAACCTTAGTGGTGATAATTGTGATGGGGGACTTGACGCCAGGACTGCTAGTCAGACCTATTAATGAGACCGGAAATAACATCAGGAAATCATGTAAGCTTGCAGCGATGCATAAAAAAACTGATCTGTTAGTTAGATATAAACACGAGGTTGTGCGGTTTCACTCTTGAGTGCAAAAGTGAGATACAATTGAACTAAAATTGATATTACAAATGAGATGAACAGTCAATTGTGAGATGGACCTGTTGCTCCTTGTTGGATAGCAGACATGGGAATGGTTTTAATAATGGTGGTTCCTGGTTTGTTGGTGGTAGTTGGAGAGACTGTGCTGATTCCCAGGATAGTGGGTTTGGTGCCAGTCCCTCCTGCCTGTGTAGTTGTAATGATTGTGGTTGGCTTGCCATCAGCAGATGTAACCAGTTTCAGGATGGTACCAGCAGGCAGAGGAGTCTTTGTCTAAGAAAAACAAGAACAAAATCAACATACACTACTTATACTGGGAAATTCACAATAAATGTTTCTGAACAGCAAATCAGAATGTGACACTGAAGAGTGGAATAATGGCTGCTGAAAATTCAGCTTTGCCATCACAGAAATAAATTACAACAAGTACAAGTGCAAATGACAATAAGCTACTTATTCTAGGTAATTCACAATATAATTTATATTAACCCCTTAGCAGTCCTGTAAAATTTGCCTAAAAAGGCATACCCAAAGTAAATTGCCTGCTATTCTTGAACCATTTGGAGTATATGCATGATTTTTTTGGTCTCTTTTGAAAGGTGACCCTCTGACATTTGTTCCTGAACAGAACAAACCTCAGAATCACTGTAAGTCTTACTGGTATTGAGTAATAGAACTTTGAACACACTGAAAAAGGAAGGAAACATTCCGCCTACTTTTGTTTTGTAAGCAGATGCCTGCAGATGATTATAGCTGGGAGCTATTAGCTGGAAAACACAATGGGATCACAGCATGAAGCCTTGTTGGTGGTCTGACAAAGACACTGATTGTACCTGCTGTGTTGATTGTATCTTAAAATGGTATGCATCATTCGAATCACAAGAATGTCAGCTGTCCAAAGATATGTGACATGTTTTTTTTTATTTTTTCCGAGTTGTTGTATTGGTTCCTTGCCACTGTCGACTTTGGCTTGCTTAGTTGGGGACACCTAATTTCTGGCAATATTGTCGACTTGATTGAACTGAACTAAGCTGAGCTGGATGATGACATCACTGAATCAATGATGAACTTACTTTAACTGGAAAATTTAGTGTTTTCTATCGTCCTCTTGCATTATCGACACACTATTTTCCTGTTTAATACTGTAAAGCTGCTGTGACACAATCTGTATTGTATAAAGCGCTATATAAATAAAGGTGACTTGACTGTGTGATGAAGTTAACCCTCAAAAACATGCAGTGTACCGCGGACGTTACAGAGGAACACTAACAGGTTAAGAATACATAAGATTAGGTAAGAAATGTACATGCTTAAAATGAGCAGCAACACTGACTTGTATAAGAGTGACAGGACTGCTTCCAGCCTGCCCCGTGACTGCAGAGGTTTGTATTGGTTTGGTCTGGACAACAGACATCACCTTCCCAAGGCTGGAGATCTGAGAACAGTTAAGGTTTATTACTTAAGGATAACCAAAGTCAAATGCTTAATAAAAAAAATTGCAAACCAACATGAGGGCAATTCATGAGAGAAGTCATATAATGAATCGTTAATTGTATTCCTTATTGAAAGGTTATCTCATTGGTGCACTTACTATAGGTCACAGTAGAACAAAAAAGAGAACCGTTTTAAAGTCTCTTCATGCTTGGGATTGCCCATTATTACAAACTTCTTTGAATTTATGTCACTATTAACTAATTTTAAGTCCAGACAATGTTATTGTTTTTTTTCCCTTACCAGAGAACCGCTGCCACCCATTGTAATGGGGCTCTTAACAAGGGTTATAGTTTTGGTGACTCCTCCGACCATGGTGGTGACGACCTGAGCCTGCTGGGCTACGGTTACCGTGCCTGATTTGTGCACAGTGATGATCGGCCGAGTCGGAGTGTTAGGAGAAGAGATGGCGGAAGTGCCGACCTGAGCAGCAGCTGTTTTCAGCATTCGGGTCGCAGGATTAGTAACCTGGAATGGAAGTAGGAACAAAGACATTAAATCACAAACAGCTACAGGACAGGAAGTGGATAATCTGGTTAATTTAAGTCCGGAAGGATGTGAGAAAGGAAAGTTGCTGAGACATTCTGTTTTATTATTTTAGAACACATTAGACAGACATTTTATCCAAAATACTTTTTGCTTACCTATAGTACAACATCTCAATTTAATAATAATAATCCACTTCAGGCATGAAAAAGATGCCGGTAACACTTTACAATAAGGTTGCATTAGTTAATGTTAGTTAATGTATTAACTAATATGAGCAAACAATGAACAATACATTACAGTATTTATTAATCTTCGTTAATGTTAGTTAAAGTCCCTCTGTAGTGAAAATCAAGTTTTTTATGCTGTTTATTTGTCTATGTGGTGTTTTTAATATGCTTTTAGACAAACCATGTGCCAATCCATTAATCAACACCACTGCTGAGTATTTTCTCCTTAAAACTGTAGTTTCCCAAGGGCAGTCACAGAAATGCGGTTTGAAACAGCCCTTGGTTTGCTACATCACAATCCAATAACCAATCACGTCAAGGGATAGATTCCCATCACTAGCATGCAAAATATACCAATACCAGCACAAAAACAAAAAGAAATTGGAGCAAAAAACCCATGAAGCCGTGGTTTAATGTGAATTTAGAACCGCTAACTTGCATTAACCCGTGGCGACAGTGTAAAAGTAGCCCAGACTCAGACCCACCTCTCCCGCATCGGCATCTGCACTTCACACGCGTAAGAATTAAGAATCACAAACGGCTGCATTCGAGTCTTCAAGGCATTTTAGGACACCACATCGTCAAGTAAGTAACTTTAACGAATGTTACAGTATTCACTGTAGTTGTCCGCTAGTAAAAAGATAGCTTTATCAGTCATTATCCGTGTATGCCATTGTTTTGCATTTACTACAGTTCAGTGGATCAGGAGGCGCTGGCTGGTGTGACTGAGTGGAGACGGGACTAATTTGCATATTCATAGATCTGCGTATAGTAAATGAGGCAAGGGTGTAGAGTTACATTCAAGCTATTTTAAGGCATGAGAAAATTATTTTCACAAGAAAAAACATTGTAATTTTGATGATCAAAGATAAGTTTTAAGGGATAAAATATTTGACCACAGGGGGACTTTAATGAAAATACAGTCATTCATTGTTAGTTCATGTTAATTCACAGCACAACTTTTGATTTTAATAATGCATTAGTAAATGTTGAAATTAACCAAGATTAATAAATGCTGTAGAAGTATTTTTCATTCTAAGTTCATGTTCACTAAAGTAGTTAACTTATGTTGTAAAGTGTTACCAAGATGCCTAATGCCTGAATGGTTCTCGGACAGAATAAGCTGGAGATCTTACATTGTTTAGTCAAAGGTCTTGTTATGCAAGACGACACTTACCATTACGGGTGAAGCTACTTTGACAGTAGCTGGCAGAGTTGTGGATCCAGGAGTCATAGCGACGGTTTTCACGATGGTGGCCCCGGCTGGAACATTTAGCACAGTGGAAGAGGGTGGGATCTTCTGTGTGGCAGCTGCAGCTGCAGCCAAAGCAGCCATGCCACTCATCTGAGGGCTGCTGCCAATTGGCTAGAGACCAAAACAGTGTTCCAAAGGGTTTAAACGCAAATTCAACATGGGAAACTAACATTTGAGACAGGGCTGAACGATTGGGGGTAAAAAATTGAATTTATATTTTATACAGTATATGATAAAAATTGTGATTTTTATTTTTAAACTCCAGGTTTGCAGTGTTTGTTTGTAGGCCTGCACAATTTGGCCAAAAATATTGTGGCTTCATATCATTACAACAACAACAACAACAATAATAATAAGTTTATATACTAAACAATTTAGTTGTTGTTTATTACTAAAAAAAAAAATTGTAAAAATGTAATAAATATTTAAATGAATACATTAAAAAATGCATTTAATATATAATAAAATGCTATTATTATTATTATTATTATTATTATTATTACTAACAACAATAAAATTAATAATATAATTTTTAATTAAGAATAGTTTTTTTATAAACAATCATTTAATAAATATTTACATAAAATGTAATAAACTACTAAAAATATTTTTATTACAAAAAATACAATAAAATATTGAATATTACTGCTGTAATATTTTACTGTAAATAGGGCTGTCGCAGTGAGTGAATTTCCCTTGCGGTAATTTTGAGTGGCTCAATAGCGCGCGGTATGCGGTATTATCGCCACACACAAATAATATATACAGTGGGTACGGAAAGTATTCAGACCCCCTTCAATTTTTCACTCTCATAAGAGACTCTCTATTGATATTTCCACCTGCGCGCGTGCGTTCTAGACGGGCTGTCAGTCAGTGCAGTTACATTGTTGCGCCACAGAGTGGCGGAAAAAGAACGTCTTGATTTCAACCACTAGAGGCCGCTCTCGCACTGTGTAATGACAGCAGACCCTTCTCAGCCGCTCCAGCAATGGACACAACCCGGAAAACTATCGGCATGGATTTTTGTAGATAACCGATAGTTCCAGCAATCAACTATCGGTGCCGATTAATCGGCAAAACCGATACATCGGTCGACCTCTAGTCCACATGCATGAAGTGTAAAACGAGAAGGGCATAACCTTACGAAAAAAGAAAACACGAAAAAAATCGCAGTTGCTGCGGTTCTTGCATTCCTCTGCGGTTTGCTCGTCAATAGCGCGCGGTATTGCAATATTGCGGTTACCGCGACAGCCCTAACTGTAAAATTACAAAATTAACAATTAATTTCCTCATTTTCACACTGGATCATGAGATTGCATGTGTAAAAGAACATTGCTGCACTTCACTCTAAAACCAGCAGTGCATATATTTATTTCATAAAAATCGCAGCCTTGTTTGATTATCACAATAAGTCAAATAGCATTTTCACTTTTATTTAAAGTAATTGTCCAGCCCCAATTTAAGATTTACACTGATACTGATTATCTACATACCGTCCCCTGGGTACTCTGTGCAGGGACAACCATGCGGACACCTGCAGGAAGTGATGTAACTGTGACTGGGGATTTTCCTCCTGGAGTGGCCTGACGCAAGGTAACGACTGACGTCCCGGGGGAAGAATAAGGCGCTGCCACTTTAAGAATAGCTGGGAATGAAAAGAATAAGTTGGGTTAGGTAACGTCACAATTATTAATATTATTATTTACAGAAACTGCAGTCTGCCGATTGCAAAAACCACAAAGTCATTTGTACCTGGTCCACGAGGTGAGGCTGCAAGCGGGCTGCTTGGTATGGCGGTGGTGGGGGAAGGAACTCGTGGCACCATTGTGACCCTAGACAGGGGCAAGCTCTGAGCTGCTGGAGCGGCAGCAGCGGGTGCCGGACTCTTAGGCGAGTTGACGGGTACAGACAGGGTGGGGTTGACCGTTGGTGATGTGGCAGCTGTTGCAGCAGGGATGTCGTATTTCTGCAGCTGCAGCAGGTAAGTGTCAGCAGTAGGCACTGCCCCCCAGCTCACCTCCAGAGAGTTGGTGTTGGCACGGACCAGCTGCACACGTGACGGAGGCTGAGGACGATCTGTTAGTGAAAGGCGAGATTTTAAACACTGTCTGAAATAATAATACTATGATAAAGTGTAATAATTTGTTTGTTGATAATTTAGCACCATGCCAGCTACTACAGCCATATTCATGCTGGAAAACTAGTGAAAAATAGAAAAGATAAATATTCTAAACTTTATATAAACAACAAAACTTGCGGTGTAGCTACTATAGTTCCAGTGTTTTTCAAACAACGCAGATTGGGCTTGTCATTTTCTGAGGATGTAAGTATTTGTAATGGGGTAAGTGTATTAAAGCTTCTTTTACACTGAGGTATCAGTTCAACTCACCTGTTTCCAAATACCACAGATCTTTGCAGCAAACTTGGTTGTTCCAGGCTTTGCGGTAGCCGTCTCTTCCACTCCAGGCGTACAGCCTATTGTTTATAGCCACAGTGCAGTGTCCAGCTCTGGCCCTTGGGATATTATCCTCGAGCGTGTCCATCAAGATGGTCTCCCAAGACATTGAGTCTGAAGGAAATAAAGGTTAAGATCAGCAGTGTTAAGCATATAAGCTCTGTTCTGAAACCTAATGAGCTATGAATGGAGGCAGCATTTTAAGGGATAAGAGGCTGTTCTCTTTTAAAGACCATTGGCTTCTTTGTTTAACCTACCTAGATTTAAGCAGGCCAGTGTGTTAGTGCACTTCCATTCCTTCTCGTGTGTCGCTACTTTGACATCATCCATGACCAGAGGAACCCAGCCACCAAACACAAACATCCTAGGAAAATATGAGACCAAAGTTAGTCAAATCCACACTAACTAGACAACTAATTAGGTCAACATGGTTCAACATTTTATTTTTGTGATTACTATAAAATTAAAAACTGTGGGGCTGTCTTTCATTTTATCCACTTCCAAAAAGAAAACCTGTTTCAGAGATGTGCAAGCTTTACATTTGATAAAAGATCATTAAGACAAAGATTTGTTTAAGTGGTAAACCAATACAGATTTATTTTATGGCTGACGCGCCATTCGAACGAATCAATTGAATGAATGACTCCGTGATAAAATCAGTGACTTGCCGCCACCTGCTGGTGGATTTAGTTTCATTTTTAGCATATAATTCCAGTTATGTGTTCTTCTGTGCCACCTCTGTAGTACAAATTAATTTATTAATACTAATTTCATATGACTGGTAACTTATTTGTCTTATTCTACATAATGTTTTAAATAGAAATGAAGCAAGTGACTGTCTTTATGAACTGACGGAAATCCGTCGTAGCAACGGAACTTTAATCCCTGTTTTTAGCTACATTTAGGTACATTATGTAGTTACCATTTAGCTATTTGTGCAATTTATTTAAAGATAGTAAATAATATGCTGCAATTAAATGTTTATTTTCCATAATATTTATGAAATTAAAAATAATGAATTTACAAATAAAGTAATTGTTAAAAACACATTTTTATGCAGGAAACAACTTCATAGGTCATAACAGCTGGATTCGCTAAAGTTTGCAAGGTTTGTGGAATTAAATATCTACTAGATATTCATAGACTTGTTTAAATGCTTTAAATGTGCATTTGCTAAATGCTGACACTATATTTGAAAGTATTACACCACTAGCTTTACTAATATTAATTAGTAACATTATTATACATTACTAATAACAAAAAAGTAAACATTATAATACTTTTTCCATACACAGTTTGCTTTAATTTAATCATTTAATAGACTCATAAGCAAAGGCAGTAAACTATTGAAGACTGAGAATGGGAGCTCCTTTGCATCTGAGATCAGGTGCAGTTTCAGCACGGTCAAAATAAAAGTCCAGCTTCTGACACTCATCAGCCAAACAGGAAAAATTCAAATGCCAAATATACTACTAACTTGTTTCTGTGGAATAACATGGACAACAAGACTAGGAATGCACACTGAAGTAACTCTGAAAGTCGATTCTGATTTCATGCCAACTAAATCTTCACAAAACAAGGCAGTGCTGGTTTCTCATCAATTATTTCCAATCTTGAAGACAGTCAATGTTTAAATAAACACTGTATGTTTAAACAAGCTTGAGAAAGTTATAACTTACTTGTTGGTTATAGTGGTGGCAGAGTGGAGACTCCGGGGCAAAGGTGCCGCACCACTTATGGCAGGTTTGTTCCAGGTTAATGTATCTACAAAACAAAGCACACGGTTAACGCATGTTATGCAATGTTATAGCATAGACATTTCTTGAACAAATATTTTAAGCCAATACTTTCTCTCACCTATGTCTAAAGTCCAGAGGTCTCCAAGACGGCAGCCACTCATGCCGCCATAGATGATGAGACGAGACTTTTTGGACGTTTTCTCTGTGTAGACAACAGCAGTGTGGCTCTCACGAGGAGGGGGAAGCACACCGTATGTAATGGGGATGTCCCAGCCTGCTACGTTAGACCCCGGGCGAAGCTCGAGAGTGTAGAGGTCATTCAGGTATCTGAGGTACAAATGGAGAAACAATTTAATTGCGGATCGGCTGCTCAAACATTTAAGAATTAATTTGAGCATTAACCGTTTAAGGCTTTTTACCTGGGAATATTGTTTTTGGGATCCTCACTGTCATTTGCCAATCCACCAAACAAATAGCATTTGTTTCCAACCAGGGAAAAGCTGTGGCCCAGGCGAGGACATGGCGGTGGGCCATTCTTGGGGGCTTTGGGCTTCAAACGTTTCCACTCCCATCTGCTGGCCTGTTTGAAGTATTTAACAGAAATTAATGAATTATTACATACGTTAGGGCTGATACTGTGAAAAAAACAACAGTCAACCTATAAGTGCCCCCTTATGCCCTTTTTAAGGTCCCTAATATTGTTTTGGGAGTCTCCTACAATTGAATTACATGCATGCAAGGTCAAACACTTTTTTTCCCTCAAAATATGCATTTAATATAGGGCTGCACGATAAATCGCATGCGATATTTAACGCGTCAGATGGCCCAGTCGGTTGTGATTGGTCTACTGCGTACAGCCAGTGTCTGAAACGATACGCCCACTGCCATAGTTCCATATTTTGAACGCTCGATAGAAAATAAACATCTATTATTTATCAAAATTACAGGTTGTGATTCAGTGGAGCCAGCTGGTCCAAATAAACCATCTTTCAAGAGCAAGCGTTTTGTGAATCCCGCGTTGAACTCCCCGAGATTAGAGAAGCAGTCGTGTCGTCACCAATAGCCTCGTGGGCAGCGCGTCGACATGTAGCGCCATTGCGCTTCGGGCGTCCCGTGTTCGAGTCCCGGCTCCCGGACCCATTGGCTTTCTTTTTTTTTTCCAAAGATTTATTTTTGGAAAAAAAAAAGAAAGACAAGCAGTCGTCAGTACAATGACGTGTTTGTGGGCGGGGTCAAGTTTTCGCGGTCGGCCAACGTAGATTATGCAAATGTATTACCCCGTGATGTGTAGCCATCACGGAAGTAGGATTTGAATTACTAACGACTCGTTTAGGCTGTACAGAGTCAACTCTTAATTTTGGGAGACAATAACTTTATTTATCGTGGACTTTCAGCTTTATAACTTTGCAGTTCGTTTACATTCACATTAGGGCTGGACGATATGGCCAAAATTTATAACACGACATATTTCTTAATTTCAGTCGATACGATATAATTCCGATATCGATATGACTACTGTCTATGACACCTCATATAAAATCATATAATATTTAAGGGGAAAAAAACAGCACAAATAAATTAATATTCACCTTTTATTTGTATTTAGCCTTCATACAAACAAGAAATGTGAAATCACTGTCAAATAAA